GGGTTTAGTACGTTTGGGTGGGGCCCATTGTAATTAGGTGATGAGTTGTTATTTTGTTATGTCTATTTTACCCTCGTTAAGTGGTTAAATATAAACATCTGACCATGATTTATACATTTAATTACATGAATGCCATTACATATTTGACTGCCATAAATAAAATTTGACTTGATCATGACCATTGGTAAGATGTATCCAATGGTCTAAATTCATTCTTATTTCTTTCACTATCTACCATTCTCATATGATCCTAACTCTATATATATAAAATAAAATAAAAAAGTCGGCCATTTTTTCTTCTTCGCGTTTACATACATACAATAACTTTAGCCTAGCTGTCCAAAATTATGGTTCTTCTCCGAAGCCCCTCCTCACCTCCCACGCCTTTGCCGCTCTCTCCCTATATTACTCAATCTTCGCAAACCCTCAATCCTCACCACCAAAACAAGAAAACAAAAAACAAAAAATTGTTAAAAAAATATAATCTTTTTCAGAATCCCCTAATATGGCTTCGAGGAACCAATCGGATTTCCAAGATTTGTTGCCCCTCATGGCCGAGAAGCTCGGCGGGGACGGATTAATCGGCGAGCTCTGTAATGGGTTCCGGCTGTTGATGGATTCGGACAAGGGCGTCATCACATTCGACAGCCTGAAAAAGAACTCTGCTTTCTTGGGCCTGCAAGAACTCTCGGACGACGATATACGAGGTATGCTGAAAGAGGGCGATTTTGATGGAGATGGGGCGCTTAATCAGATGGAATTCTGCGTGTTGATGTTCCGGTTGAGCCCCGATTTGATGGATCAGTCTCGGTATTTGTTGGAGGAGGCTCTTCAGAGAGAAGGGTTCAATATACTTTGACAGCCATTGTTTGTTCTTGGGAGGTGTTTGAAAAGCTCGGTTTTATAGAGAAATTGACAACAAAACTTGGATGTGTGGAAATTTATGCTACTTTCATGTCTTTGGGTTGTCTTGGCAAACTTTAAGAATGAGTATGTATTTTGTTTAAAACGAATGAAGGGTCGACTCGTCTAACAGTTACAGTGCCTCGTGTGATCTTGTGATGGTTCGGTTTAATGGCTTGGTATAACAAATTGGGGCAGAAAATGGACAATGTGAGAGAGATTGAATTTTGTGGCAATTGTTGTGGCTGTGGGTGAGTTTTCTAATTATCTGGTTTGAACTGCATAGACACCCATGTATGGTATGTTGATTGTTTTCTGATAGCTAATAGGATCAAATTGTTCGTTGATGGTTCAATGTTTACTTCTTTTTTTTTTTCTTTTCTTTTATTTGTATTATGTATGTACATTTTTGTTAGTGGTCTTCTACAGCATAGTTTTAACCAGTAGACTAGTGATAGTTTTCTGTTTTGGTGTTCTGCATGTTTGTCTTTCTTGATAAAACTATGTCTTTGGTTTGTCTTGGCAAACTTTAAGAATGAGTGTGTATTTTGTTCAAAACGAATGAAGGGTCGACTCGTGTAACAGTTACAGTGCCTCGTGCAATCTTGTGATCGTTTGGTTTAATGGCTTGGTATAACAAGTTGGGGCAGAAAATGGACAATGTGAGAAAGATTGAATTTTGTGGCAATTGTTGTGGCTGTGGGTGAGTTTTCTAATTATCTGGTTTGAACTGCATAGACCCCATGTATGGTATGTTGATTGTTTTCTGATAGCTAATAGGATCAAATTGTTCATCAATGACTCAATGTTTACTTCTTTTTTTTTTTTTTTCTTTTATTTGTATTATGTATGTACATTTTTGTTAGTGGTCTTGTACAGAATAGTTTTAACCAGTTGGTGTTCTGCATATTTGTCTTTCTTGATAAAACTATGTCTGTCAATCAGGTTCAAAAATCAATGAGTGGCGCGGATGCTTGATCTATTTGTCGAATTGTACGCTCTGACTTTGCATATTTAGTGAGTTACCTCGGAAGATTCACGAGTAATCCATAATATTGATGGCGCTGAATCGGGTATTTTGCATTGCATGTTGAAAGAAGGGATCCATGATGAATCCTATATATGGCACCGGGTGCACTCATTTCCCACGACCTGCAAAAGGAGGGATAATGAGAGCATGCTTATCAGCTGAAATAGTATCATCCTTCGTAACAAAAACTATTTTCAATAAGAATCAGATCTTTTTTTCCAAAAAACAGAAAAAAAAAATCTACCCCATAGCCATAAGTAAGAGGATGAATTCCAAGGTTGACATGATCAATCTGTGATTGATTTGTGATATATCATTTTGATTGTGGAGAGATATAATGAGATAACTACTTGGTATGTGTGGAAGTAAAAACTTTAGTTGTAACAACAACAACAACAACAAAGCCTTTTAGTCCCCGAGATGAACCCAAGAGAAACCGTGGTAAGAGAAACACAACAAAGGGCTCAACACAAAACAAAACAAAACAAAACAAAACAAAACAAGAACACAACAAAAGAAAGAGAATGGAGCAAAAGAGCAAGGAGCAAAAGTCACGACTCCGGCACGTTGATCGCTAGCTTCCAAGCGCTCCTATCCACCGATAAATCCTTGGAGAGATATAATTCCAGGGGGTAAATTGCACCAAACCTCCTTGTATTATACTAAATCTACGCGGTATTCCCCTGTAATTTAAAAATTACGTCAAAACTCCTTCTATTATACTTTTGCATGCGCGAAACACCCTAAACCGTCTAAGATGACGGAAGTGGAGTGCACGCGCGTGCTATGCGACTTTTTCTTCCTTTTTTCATCCCAAAGTCGCGGAATTTACCATTTTACCCTTACTATTGTTAGGCAAAACAATAAAAGTTTAGAAGCTCCTTCAAGGATTCGAACCCAGGCCAAAATACCATTAGGCAAGCCTTCAAATCACTCTA